AGAGAGAGAGAGAGAGAGAGAGAGAGAGAGAGAGAGAGAGAGAGAGAACTAAGTACATCAAGAGAAAAGTAAAGACTCCCAAAGAGCAGAGGAGGGAGTGAAATCTCATCGGTGTGTTTTGGTAGTATAGGGTAGATTCTCCTCCTGTGATTTGTGGTTGATCAACAGACAAAGAAAGGGAAGCTGACCGGCCCACTCAAGTAAACAAGTTCAGAATGGACCTTGAACACACTGGTCAGCCAGAAGGGGATCCCAGCTGGTAGAAGAAAAACCATGAGACCTTTATCTCAGGTCAGGAGAAGGAGGAAGAAGCAGAGGTTTGCCATCTTATTATCCGTGGTTCTTTTCACCATCCGTCTGCCTGTCAGGGGTCTATCTCCAAGTCCCTCGGTGGTGTCTAAGAACTATGAAACCAAGCCGATGGACAGAAGACTCATGAGGAAGCTGTAAGCCAGAGTTCTGCCCAACAGATTCAAAATGGCATCTTTAGGTTGGAGATTCCAGCACAATCCTTTGCCTGACTAGAACAAAAAAGATTTCACAGCAGCTGAGCCTTTTCCTTTTCTCATATTTAAAAACAAAAGAATGACCTCCTTTGCTGCCAGGCAGTGCAAAGCCTGGTCCAGCCCACCTTTTTCGAAAACCTGTGATCTGCTTTTCAAGGGGAAGATGAAAGTGCCAGGAATAGACAATGGATCCGAAACACCGGCTGACTTTTGAATATTCATGACTATTCTAATGCAAATGAATATTTCAAATTGAACTGGTTTGCCCAGGTGCTTGTGGAAGTGCATTAAGCTTATAAAATTGCTTCTCTGTTCTTCTGTGCGCCTAGAACAACTTCCTCCACTTATTTACAATTCTAGAAGGTTTCCCAGGTGTTCACCTTGAGCTGAAGTTCCAGCCCCTAAAACACAGTGGCTGTGACCCAGCCTAACCCAGAGGAGAGCCTGGCCTTCTTTAATTGGAGCTCAGGCCTGGGAGGCCCTCAGGCTTATCACACATCAGCCGCCTTTCCTTTGAGCTAACCTCAAACGAAAGCTCATTGTTCCCTGAAGAACAGAGGGAGGAGAAGATTCTGCTAGGGTGTAGGAGCGCTTGTCCCAGCTCTCTGGCAGGAAGTCAGGAGGGCTGTTTGGACTCCTGCACCTCAGGGCTCTGACCTATAAATGACATGTAGCCTGGGACAGGACCCTCTGAGCTGATGGAGATGTCAGAGACCTTCAGAGCACTGTGGTGAGTCTTCAGTACCTGGGTGTACTGACGGAATTGTTCCCTTCTCAACAGGATTTGTGTGAGGTTTCCAGTCAACCCTGGGAAGAGGGGGTGGGGAGGTGGGGTGGGAGAGATGAGAAAGAAAAGTCCCTGCGAAGCCAAGGATTTTTTTGGAGGAAGAGGACAGACACTGGCCCTGACCCTAGTCATTGAAGAAACTTTCACAGCTCCCGCTGTCTCCCAGGAGGTGGGATGTCCCTCTGGGTCATTGGAGTGGAAGATGCTATCTCTAGGTTTTTATTGGCCCAGAATCCTTGTACCATCTGAAGACCACTCCCAAAGGTTCCTGAGTAGGTTTGGTTCCATTCCTTTACTAGTCCTTCAAATATATTTATTTGAAGTTTATTTATTTTACATTCTAACATTTGCTTCCCCTGCCTCCTCTCTTTCCACTCTTCCATTTGCTCAAAGAGGGTCAGAACTCCCAGCAAAGCAAGGCTTATCAAGCTGCCCTAAAACCAAGCCCCTCCCCTTGTATTTAGGCTGGGCAATAGGTTCCCAAGATCCAGCCAAAGCACTATGGACAGTCCCTGCTCCTGTTGCCAGGAGTACCACAAACAGACTAAGCTGCACAGCGGTCACACATACGCAGAGGGCCTATGTTAGTCCCATGTAGGCTCCCTGGTTGTTGGTTCAGACTCTGAGTTCCCATATACCAGGCTAGCTGTTTCTGTGGGTTTTCCTGCGATGTCCCTGACCTCCCTGGCTCCTACAATCCCTCCTTCCTCTCCTCAGCAGGGCTCCCCAAGCTCAGCTCAATGTTTGGCTGTGGATTGGGTCTCTGAATCTGCCTCCTTCAGTCACTGGATGAAGGTTCACCCATGACAACCAGGGCAATCACCAATCCAATCACAGAGGATAGTCAGTTCAGGCTGTGCTCCGCTGCTGCTTGGAGTCTTAGCTGGGCCCGTCCTGGTAGATTCCGTGGGAGTTTCCCTGCATCAGTCTTCTGCCTGATCCCATAAAGCCCCAGCTGTCAATCATCTCTCGCAGCACTCTCCCCCTCTGCCAAGCCCCCAACCCAATTCCTCAAGTTCCTATGCCTGCACACCCCAGTGCACTCAGGAGATCTCCTCTATTTCCCGGTCCCAGAGAGACCCATTAGTTCCCACGTGGGCCCTCCTCATTACCTAGCCTCTCTGGGGCTGTGGACTGTAGCCTCGTTATCCTTTACTTTACAGTTAACATCCACTTATGAGTGAGTCCATGCCGTATTTGTCTTTCTGGGTCTGGGTTACCTCACTCAGAATGATTTTTTTCTAGTCCCATCCATTTGCATGCAAATTTCCTGATGCCGTTTTTCACAGCTTAGTAAACTCCATTGTATAAATGTACCACATTTTCTTTGTCCGTTCTTCAGCTGAGGGACATCTAGGTTGTTTCTAGGTTGTAGTTACTACAAATAAAGCTGTATGAACATAGTTGAGCAGGGGTCCTTGTGGTATGATTGAGCATCTTTTGAATATATGCCCAGGAGTGATATCCCTGAGTCTTGAGGTAGATTGATTTTCTGAAAACCACCATACTGATTTCCAAAGTTTGCACTCCCAGTAGCAATGGAGAAGTGTCCCATTGCTCTTGAAACATACACTTACCTCCTAGGCTCCTCCTCTCCAGTGAACACCCCTGTCCCCACCAATACTCTATAGAAAAGATGCCCCTCCCTACGCCTGACCTGGACCTGTATTTATTCAATGAGCATCACCAATGTTCTCAGCAAGTGACAGAGGTGACTCTGGTACAACCTCTGTTCAACACTTCTTACTGTGGGTTCCAGCTGCCCTCTGCCCACAGTCTGTCTCTCTTCACTACAACCAGTGTTCAACACTTCTTACTGCGGGTTCCAGCTGCCCTCTGTCC